TCAATTCTCTTTCAGCTGAGTTTGTTTTTCAGAACTTTTAAACGCCTCAACAAACTACCAAACTACTTCCTGATGAAGTTGTTTTGTTGTCTTAAACCTCAACAGCACTCCCCTTCATGCCTCTCCTGAGCTGAAAGATGCGTTCAGGTGGACCAGAGTTGACCCTCTGACCCAAACGGGTCCACGTCTTCAGTGGGCTGAACTTGAATATGCAACATAACGCAGACCTCGCTCCTCTGAACTCAGCAGTGGAGCCCGACAGCTGCTGGTATGCGGCTCACAAAAGAAGCGTAGAAGCCTGGACAGAACCGCCACCTCGGAGCTGTGGACCGGGAGCTCAAAACTAAAATGGAGGGGGCCGAGTGCGTGGTCGCAAACCTGGGGCCGAGTGCGTGGTCGCAAACCTGGGGCCGAGTGCGTGGTCGCAAACCTGGGGCCGAGTGCGTGGTCGCAGACCTGGGGCCGAGTGCGTGGTCACAACCCTGGTCCCGAGTGCGTGGTCGCAAAGCTGAAATCCTTTTCGTTGAAATCTTGCGACACCGTTCGGAGTCCCCGTTGTCGTTATTTCAGAAGCTAGAAAGCGAGCGCGGCCTCATCGCTGAGATGGAGGTGCAGGTTCTGTGAGCTGAGTGCATGGCGTCAGCTTTTACTCTGTGCACTGCAAGAAACAAAAAGACCCCCAAAAGTCACTGAATCTGGTTTTGGGGATTATTAAATAAGAAGAAGTTTTTCATTATTCATAATCTGAACTAACTTGAGTGACTTGTTTGGAGGGATTTAGCTCTTTGTTTTTGCAGAGCAGAGCAAAGTCCCCCTCTCTCTTACCCCCCCCCCCCTCGCTTCAACTAAAACAGAAACATCGTTACTAAGCACATCTTTCTAGAAGAGTATATGCATTTGATTGCAATTTTCTTTCTTTTGTAAACTGTTGATAAAGACATTAAGGACAATGACAAATAACTAAGATAGATCCATGTACATAAATGTATATAATCAAAAAGTGCAGAGTAAATGTAACGGGTGAATTTCTATTTTTAACACTGACTAGATAATGTGAAAATCCTTTTCTTTCCTCCTCCTCTGTTGGTTTGATGAAATGTGTTCCATCGTGTGTCGTTTTCTTTTCAAATCTAAAAAGACATTTGTTTCGTAGTTTCTTAAAAACAAAAAAAGAATTGGTCCCACTTGTGTTGTGCACACGTGTTGCATGGAGAGTAGCCTTCCTGTGTTCTACTAGTGACGTTGGTGAGCATGTCAGTGTGTTTGAGACTGGGGGGGGGGGGGGGTTATTAATTAAGGACCCGTTTATTATTAAAAACAGAGCTTCACACTTCTGCACTAGACCTCATTTAAAATATCACAACAAAAGCAGTGAAATGTGAGATTTAGTGGATTTTGGGTGAGAAAAAAATATGTTTGTGGTTATTTTGGATTTGATTGTCGGTTTTAAACTCATCTTTTCTAAACTTATCCAAACTGTTCATAGAGTGCTGCAGGAACGAGTCCTAACACCAGGAAGTGAGTCAGCAGTTTGTACACTTGTGTTTTTGTTCAGACGTCTGAAATAAAGTCTGTTTGAACACAAGCTTTAGTTCTCCGATTATAAAACAGGTCAGTGAACGCCCCTCTGGTGTTTGTCTGACAGAGATTATATTCTGCAATAATCCAAAATCCAATGAAGGAATCCCATTGGCTGTTTGTGTGGGGGGGGGGGGGCAGTGATGCTGACTTCCTGTTCCCTGCAGTTCTCTATTGTTTTCTTACAAGAAATGGGAAACGACCCACTACAGTCTTCACCAATCCTATGAAGGTATATTTGTGTCTTTATTACGCAAACAAAAAAAAACGTTTTAAAAGCAAATTTCTTGCACTGCAATCAAAAATCAAGTTTGTAAGTGAAAATATATAAACTGAGAATAATTTATTTGTTAGTTTTGCTTATGAAACTAGAATATTTGGTTAAAAAAATAAAACCTTTGGTTAAAAAAAATAAAATCTTTGGTTAAAAAAAATAAAATCTTTGGTTGAGAAAAAAATATAAAAGATATTTTATTTATAAAAAATAAATATAAGATTTTATTTTTTTAACCAGAAATTCTAGTTTCATAAGCAAAACTAACAAATAAATTATTCTCAGTTTATATATTTTCACTTACAAACTTGATTTTTGATTGCAGTGCAAGAAATTTGCTTTTAAAACATTTTTTTTTTTTGCGTAATAAAGACACAAATATACCTTCATACAATCCAGTTTCCACAATTAAACATCTCAATGATGCTCAGACATTGCAGGAAGTAAAAACACAGAGTGTTCAACAATGTTTGCATCCTTTGTTTACCCCACGTAGCACACCTTTGTGTCCTCGTGTACCTGTCCTTGATAATCGCTTTACAAGCACACTGATCAGCAGCAGATGTGCTATTTTCTACAGAGAGTCACAGAGAGTTGTTCCACCTCAGAGTCTGTGTCGGTGTTGCAGGGAGACCGATGCATGTGTTTGTTCCTGCTTCCTGTCTTTAGTTTTCTGTGCGAGCTTGTTTTCCTCCTCGGTATTCTTCTAAATGTTCTGTTCTTGTGCAAAGCGGGAATGTTGATCTGCGAACAGACGGTGAAACATTTGATCCTCGCGAGAGCTCGACGGGACGTCTGTGTGCCTCGACTCACCTCTGCAAATCACAAACTTTAGGTATTTTCTATTGAATGCAGTAACTTATGGGCCAGTACTATATTTACTCAGTGCAATGCAGTCATCATTATAATAATACAATTATTAATAATATTTTTTGTTTTGTTTTTTGTATTTGTACAGAACAAATGTGTAAAGATCAGTGAGGAAAACGTGAGCTTTTTGATACTGTGACTCAGTGTTTAAAAGTCAGTTCTCCCTGTACAGTTGTGATTATTTGACCCCTCCCCCTTCTTTTATAGAATAAAACATGTTTTTGGTGCAATTTAACGCTGTTTCTGTGTTCTTTATTATGAATCAATGCTTCCTGTCAGGATCCAGTTCATCATCATGGAGGAGCTCCTGGCAATAAATCCATCTTTTTAGATTTATTTTGTTTTACAGTGTGAATAAAACACGTTTTTCTGAGAAGGAAGAATTACAGATTTGTTGAACTAAATGTGGAACCTTGRAMCAGTGTAGTCTCACGCACAACACTGGTGAGTAGAGTAGAGATGTCCTCCAGGAGAGGGAGCACCGGGACAGAGGAGCAGCACAACCGATGGAACCTCACCAGAGCGGACAAAAAGACACGAACGTCACACTCAAGACGCAGAAATATCTAAATAGTAATAACAAATAAAATAATAATAACGACAAATAAAATAATAATAACAAATAAAATAATAATAATAATAACAAATAAAATAATAATAATAATAACAAATAAAATAATAATAATGACAAATAAAATAATAATAAATAAAATAATAATAATAAATAAAATAATAATAACAAATAAAATAATAATAACAACAAATAAAATAATAATAACAACAAATAAAATAATAATAACAACAAATAAAATAATAATAATAACGACAAATAAAATAATAATAATAACAACAAATAAAATAATAATAATAATAACAAATAAAATAATAATAATAATGACAAATAAAATAATAATAATAATGACAAATAAAATAATAATAATGACAAATAAAATAATAATAATGACAAATAAAATAATAATAATAATGACAAATAAAATAATAATAATAAATAAAATAATAATAACAAATAAAATAATAATAATAACAAATAAAATAATAATAATGACAAATAAAATAATAATAATAACAAATAAAATAATAATAACAAATAAAATAATAATAATAAATAAAATAATAATAACAAATAAAATAATAATAAATAAAATAATAATAATAACAAATAAAATAATAATAATAACAAATAAAATAATAATAATAACAAATAAAATAAAAATATAAAATGCTAATAATAAAAAATACTCATACAAATATAATAATCATAATAACTAGCTCATTTAAAATGCTATTTGTTCTCTTAAAGCGTTACTGACCTTATGTTAACAAAAAGAAACTTAGGCTCCTTTATTCACAATTCAAAAAGGAGAACAGGAGATCAAACCAGGTTAATGAATAAAAAGCGGAGAGAATAAAGTGCATGAATAGAGTCATAAACAGCTCTTATTGTGTGTGTGTGTGTGTGTGTGTGTCTGTGTCTGTGTGTGTGTGTGTGTGGGGGGGGGGGGGGGCTCTGAATGAAACTCTCTACTTGGCTTTATTAGCCTCCTGCAGTCATGATCAGGCCAATCATTAACACACAGCGTCAGTCGTTGCATTCACACAGATGCAGACAGACACACGAACCATATAAACGCAATAAACAACGAGAACTTTGCCGCTTTGTGATTTGGCGGCATGCGAAACAAAGATGACACCGGTGAACTGCCCGCTTCTTTCTTAGGCAACCAAACCCGTGTTGATAGTTTAGTGGAGAGACTCGAGGAGTCTTAAAGGATGTTTGTGCAGAGTCTAAGAGCAGGATATGATTTAATAAAACAGTGGAATGCTGACGGAAACACTGGAACTGGACAGATAAAGTTAACGGTGTGGTGTATCAGCAACCAAATCTAGGTTTATTACAATTGTGCAACCAATGACAACTCTCTGTGGCTCTCCAGCCCACTCACTGTGACTCAGTGGACTCTGTCACAAATGAACGAGAGCCCCACATTGGTTCAGACAGGTTTCAAACCGCTCACTGCTGTTTGTCAAGAGAACTTTAGGCGCTTTTTTGATTTGACACCAAAGAAAGAAGTAGCCATTGTGGAGCGAATAAACTCCGCTACAGCGTAGTTTGGTCAGAGGTTGGTGTTATAGGCTCCCGCATGGCTGTAA